CCATGCGCAACTGTTTGAACATATATAACATGTCATAATTATCAGATTTACAGTTTGATTGGGAAGGATGTTGAAAAAATACACATATATTATAGCGTCAACACATGCGAAGATCACCCATGCATCCATTTTTTTGCTTCAGTCATTTGAATCGCATGGTTGAAGCAAATTGCATTGGTTTCATGATGTGACATTGACGGATTGGATTCCGTGTTACAGTTTTGAAAAAAACAGATCAAAACTCTTGCAAACACCTGCGCCATCAAAACAAGCCAGTCTGACGAGGCATATAGTTCCCTTCCAATGGCACCCGCATTGCACACAGCAAAGGGCGGACACCCAAATGCACTGAATTTTGGGGCTCTATATTAAGTGCTGTGTGTTTTTGTTGGTCTTCTGTGTGGCAAGTTATTTTTTGAAAAACATATAAATAGACTCTGCAGGATCAACTCAGAAGGAATCCAATCCAACAACCATTGCGATCAGCAAGATTGGAATGCTGTATATAATATTGTGCTGGATGATGTTGCAACCTAAAGTCTTAAAGCGTTCCAATTCCAACTGATTTTCACTGCCGCTTTCGATCGAGCCACCTGCAAAATCATTGGTGCCTGAAGTGGCATTGTTTGGAGGCCTTTGGATTGGGTAAGGTTGAATGGTATGGCAAATTGCGGGAAATCCATGGTAAGTGATGATTATATGATAATATACCATCCCATGTCTGCATTCTGTAAACTTTAAACATTTTGGATTTCCCGTGATTTGCCCTGTGGTGCAGAGATATAGATTAATGGGGTTAACAATGTGGGAATACTATATAATCAAAGTGATGCCTATGACGGATATAGAATACATGCTATATATATTATATTTATAAATATATATCTATATACCATGCTTTATATAGCCATAAATTACCATAAAATGCTATTACGGTAAATCACGTCCCGGACAACAATTCTTGACCACAGCTTTAAAACACTACTTTTAAGATTCTGGATAACAATAGTTGTCTATCAAGTGTAGCAGGTATATTAACATAGACCCTGGCAGTCATCGGGGTTTTAAAAGACGAGTTTCCATTAAAAATGGGTGATTTTCAGGGTCCAACAAGTTAATTTACCTTTTGGGTATCTCTGGACCAGATTCGGTGTGGAAGATCTGCATGCATTGAACAGCATCAAAGCTGACAGCATTGGGTCCTAAACAAAGATCATCTGTGATAATCCAACCCAGGAACAACATGGAACAACTAGTCTACTAGCCTACGCACTGAATCATTAGTTCCGATTACTGAAATCCACCAACAATTGTCATAGTCCAAAGTCAGATGGGCCATGGAGTTAGTTAACAAGTCTGTATCAAGTCTGCAAATGGACTAGAATTGGACTAGAATTGGGCCAAAAAAAGGGTGCATGTTGTAGTCATAGCCCACCTTTTTTTACCAGATCAAACCAGTTAACTAAAATCCCATGGTCCATCGAAGTACTCCAATAGGCCTGTGAGTTTTCACAAATCATCTCGCTCTACATCCCGGTCTGTGAAAGGCGCTGAACCCAACCCATCCAAGTGGGGAACTTGGACGCTTTTCAAAACTTACCCTCTGGTAAACTAACAGTTTGCTATTGAAAATGGCCATTTATAGTGAGTTTTCCCATTAAAAATGGTGATTTTCCATAGTTATGTTAGTTTACCAGAGGGTACGTCATACTTTCCATGTTTGTTCCCATCAATTGCCATGTACCATCATTCACCATCATCATCTGGTTGGTGGTTGACCTACCCCTCTGAAAAATATGAGTTAGTCAGTTGGGATTATTATTCCCAACTGAATGGAAAAAATAAAAGTCATGTTCCAAACCACCAACCAGTAATGGTATATATAGATGTTCTCATGGTTTATCATGGTTTAGAAAACCCATCTACTAATGGATTGATGACCATCAGCCAATATATATGGGTAAATTATAATATTTCACTAACCTGAATTAAGGCCATTTGGGGATGATTTCCCTTACTAACCATGATTCCAGTGAGGTCGCAGTGAGGTCGTTATAATTTACCCAGATTCAATATGTCCCAATATGTCAATATGTCATGGTCAGCGTTTCGAGTCTAATTCTCAAAAATCATCCCCCCAATATGGGATGATATAGACGTCGTCACCATGGGTTGGTTTTGGGCTACACCCCTGACTTACAAAAAAGAACATCCATACATTACTTGGGTTTATAGGTGGTTAATGGTGGAAAATGACATCCTCCCATGGTTTTTTAATTCTTCACATGCCTAGAGAATAATACATATATATACCCTCTTGTAAACGTTATATCGTTAGATATGGAGTTTACCCACCACCATTTGGAGGTGTCCTAAAATTGGGTGGTACCCGCAAATCATCCAAGTAATTGGACCATTCCAGTTTTACATTGTAGTATATTGAAACCCATGGTGACTTGGGGATTCCCTATTTTAAGAAACCACCAAAAAACATGGCCAATCAGCCAGATACCCTGCTAAAAAAAATGAGATTCTTAGCTCAAAAGAACGGTTCGATTTTATCCCATTGATATCAAAAGACGCCATTGGATTTACCCTCTGGTTATTTAACATAGCCATGGAAAATGGCCCATTTATAGATGGTTTACCTATTAAAAATGGTGATTTTCCATAGTTTGTTGTTAACGTTTACCAGAGGGTAACTACCCATCCAGTCGATTGACCTACAAAGTGGTGCCCAAAAATCGTTAGCTAAGTTGGTGAACATAACTCCAATTTCACTATGGTTTATGATAGATATACCGAACTACTATTCCCATGGTTTATATAAACCAACATTCACATCACTGGTGGGAAAACAACCTTGTAATTAGTTGGTGTATAAATCAAACTGTCAGATGGGCCATGGAGTTAGTGTCCACAAGTCTGTAAATGGCACAACCTTGTAGATCATTTGTTGTTAACATTTGTTAACCATCTACAAATTTAGACTTAGCCATTTCCAGACTTACAGACTTAGCCAGACTTACAGACTTAGCCAGACTTACAGACTTAGCCATTTCCATTTCCATGGATTTGTAGATCATTTGTTGGGGTTACTATTCCCAATATATGGAAAAAAAAATGTTCCAAACCACCAACCAGTTGTAGATTTGTAGATCATTTTCCAAATTGGCTTTTTCCATCACAACCTTCTGAGACTCCGAGCCATGGGTCCGAGTCGGGTCCGGACCGTCCCTGGGAGGCGACCAACCGCGACCCGGAACGGCGACCCGGTAGGCTTTAAAAAAAGTAGCGAACTTGAAGATGGCCCATTTCTAGATGATTTATCTGGGTTAATTATACTATACCATCTGGTTATTTTCCATAGCCATGGAAAATCACCATTTTTAATAGGTAAACCATCTATAAATGGGCCATTTTCCATGGCTATGTTAAATAACCAGAGGGTAACTAGATTTATAATTATAATATCTAATGATTCTAATGATTCTAATGATCTATCATTCTAATTATCAATTCACAAAGCTGGATAGTTCGGCTACCCCCAGCATTTTTCCCGCAGTGAGGTGATTTTCTGGGATGATCCAACTATGGAGTGATGGAGGTTCCGTCCAACTTATGAATAGATATGTGCAATTACCCTCTGGTAAATAAACATAGACCCTGAAAATAACGCATTTTTAATGGAAACTAATCTTCCAAGTCCTATTTGCCAGGGTCTATGTTAATTTACCAGAGGGTATATGCATAAATGTCGCCACAATGAGTGGCATGAGACATATTTCAATCATATTTCAATCCAACTTTGAGATTTTTTTATGAAAAACCATAAAATTCATTTGGTCTCCGTTGATTGAAGAGAAACTATAAGGTAACTACGTCTAAATGTACTGATTCTTGAATATAAAATACAAACTGGTATTTTGGACTACCTCCGGGAAGGTTTTGCTTGGCCTGCCCAGCCATTTAAACATACGGAATCCAATTAATTTAAACTGTTTTTACATTCATATATATATATATATACAGATATATAAATATACGGATGGAACAGGTGTTGTATACTACCTCGGCGGCCTTGTTGTCCGGCCCGCCCTCCACATAAATATGTACAGGAAACATCAGGAAACAATTTTGATGATCTTGCATGGTGTACTTTGGGATTGCATCCATTGTATCTTTGCCCACTGATGTCGCGCCATTAAAAGCGCCCTTGATCGCCTCACGTTTCAGCAGCAATGAGGCATTCGACCCGAACTACCTAGGAACTTCAAAGTCCCAACTTCCTACAATCTATCGCTGAAAGTTGAGTTCGGGATCGCAACTTCATATGTTTGTTGCATCAAAAATCATCAGTTCGGTCACCACTTCTAGGCATTTTGTTGAGCTCAGATTTTCTGTGCGAAGAGAGCAGTTTGACCCCTTCAATCTTCATCATTGGGCTTTACACACGGGCCCCTGGTGTTCGAAGCCGCCCCGGAGCCGAAAAGTGCCGAGCCAATGCCGCGGTTCTAAAGCAATGACTGGGATATGAAGGGGTTATTTGGTGGCGAACTACCCACGGCTCGTAAGTGGGTTATAACCCCAGTGATTTACATGGGATAAGGAGCGGGTTAATCCACTTATAATTGGGGTGAACTAAGCCACTTACGAGCCGTGGGATGAGCCACCAAGTATACCCATGGACTGCACGTTCCAACTTCGTTCCTTTGGCAGCCAACACGCGTCTCGTCCAAAAAGGTGCCCACCTACAACCACGACCACGACAGCGCGGAATTTTGAAGTGCTGAGTTTCGCGCCGGTCTTGCAAATCCAATTCAGAGGCCGAGTTGCTTGACTCCAGTTTTTGGCCATACTGGGGCCATACTGGAGGGAAAACACATAAACAAATAACATCAAATTTTAACATTACCCTCTGGTAATTTAACGTAGCTATTGAACATGGCCATTTATAGTGAGTTTTCCCATTAAAAATTGTGATTTTCCATAGTTATGTTGTTAGTTTACCAGAGGGCAATTAACAACAGCAACTAGGCCTGCTGTTTGTTTCTGAACGAACTGTGCATTGCATTCGAAATGTCTGGGCCACCTGGGCCTGCCGAATTCATCGCGGAGTGCTGGGACTTGTCTCAGGGAGACGACTTCGAACTGAGGGGCCTGTCAGGACAAACGGGATCGCGTGGTGCAAAAAGATACACAGATGCGTCTGAAAATGGTGTATACATGTGTATACCCCCTAGATTGCCATTTTAAGATGGAAAATTATGATTAATATCCAAGACCCTCCAATGATCTCCAATGATGCATTTATTTCTGTATCGATTTGTGCTGGTGCTGGAGATTTTCGCTCGTTTGCAAAAAACAACATTGCTCGTTTGCAGAAAAAATGCCTGAGGGGGTTCATGCCTTCTCCATAATCAGTTTGGTTTGCTACTAGTTTTTTGAATTTGCGTTTGTTGTGTTTTTTTTGCAGATATGTCGATATGTGCGGTCAAAGCGAACAAATCCTGTTTTCAGTCGAGCTGGGTTAGCCAAAAGAAAATAGATGGAACTCGGGAAAATTGTTCGGAACAGAAATTGACGCTACGAATTGGAAAAATGCGTATCGAGTTATCGATTTCTGCATTGGACGACCACAGGGGCAACAACAAATGCTATAAGATTTGGAAGGTCTTGGATCAGCAGTTGAAATTGGGGTGGTTACCCTTTATGCAGACAAACACGTCTTTCTGATTGTTTGTGACTGCTTGTGATTGTTTATTCATCTTGGCCAATCCCAATAAATTGATATAAATTGAACACCCCCGAGAGCACACGGCTAGAGCTTTGGATCAGAGTTGGTTTCTATTGGTTAAACAATACCACCCGCAGAACCTAACGTTCGCCCATGATGACATAATATATATATACCCTCTGGCTATTTCACAATATTTAACATAGCTATTGAAAATCACCATCTTTAATAGGTAAATCAACTATAAATGGGCCATTTTCATTATGTTAAAATACCAGAAGCCATCGGATCCCAGGGCTCCATGGCGGCGACCCGCGCCACCGGCGCCACCTTCCAGTTTTTTGGAACCGGGCTGATCATGTGCCTGTGACGCCAACACTTGGTGCCGGAGGATGTTAGGAGAGGTCGAAAAAACTTCGCCGTGGGTGTTTGTTGTTGTTGTTGTTGTTAACAATACCAACTAGCATTCATGTTTATATTATATCTAGCCGAATTAGGAATTATAATCTTGATGGTGGATATGATATATGTACAGTCTGGACCAGTTTGATGGGCTTATGATGCAGTTGATAACTTGGGGCATCCTGTGAGATAGACACGGCTTCTGGGATTTCTGTTTCAGAATTCCCAAGTAGTCAATATCATAATGAGCAGTGTTCAAAACCCGCAACATCGTCCCTTTATACTGCACTATGAATATCCCCAGTATATTTGGATAGTATAGTACAGTCCCAAATCAACCAACCGGGGTTTAGCAGCCACTGTTCATGTCGCATTCCTCCAGATTCTGGTTAGTCACCGGTGACGGGAACCCGTCGTTGAAGCCCAGCTTTCACCCAGTACACGAATGCTTTATATATATATGTGTGTTTTCTTAGTGTGCTAGGGTCAAAAAATAGTAAGACATGGTACATCGATGTATACCGAAATCAATCCCATCATGGGAATCCTTATATGTTTCTTTACAATATAACATATATCTCTGGTTGGTGGTTTCAACCCCTCTGAAAAAATATTAGTCAGTTGGGATTACTATTCCCAACTGAATGGAAAAATAAACCTCATGTTCCAAACCACCAACCAGTAATGGTTTATATGTAGATTTTCTCATGGTTTATCATGGTTTAGAAAGCCTACAATGTGGGGCCCCCTAGTTATAAGTTGGTTTATAAGCCCCAATAACTATAGTTATAAGTACCATAAACCATAGTTATTGGAGTTATAAACCAACTTAGCTATCTAGGGGGCACCACTTTGTATCTACTAATGGATTGATGACCATCAGCCAATATATTCAACATGGGCGCATCCGCAGCATCCGCAGCATCCGCACCTGCCCAGCAACAAAACTCTCCTGTGGGTTGCACAGGAATGCAGCAGCCTGAAGCGAAAAAAGGCTGGAACAGCCTTTGGAGATAGAAGAAACATATGCTAGATGATATTTCTATATATATATAAGACCAAATCATATATATTAAATTTCTATATATTTCTTTAAATAATTATATATGTTCTTATATGTTCTATATATTTCTATATTCATTTTCTATCTATGTCTTTAAATATTTTAAGATATTTCATGAAATATTTCTATCTTTCTGGGGGTTAAAAAAAATCACCCTTCTGTCTGGAGGTTTCCGTTTCGTGATGACTGGGCACCCCCAGTCATCCATTTTAGATGCTCGGTGTATTTTATGTACCCGGCCTGGTAAACGTTAACAAAAAACGATGGAAAGATCCAACATATTTTTCATGGGAAATGTCACTATTTCTATGACCATGTAACCAATAGCTATTTTGACATATCAACCATCCAGCTATCATCCAGCATTGGGGGGTACCCCCATGACTATGGAAACCCCATGAAGATGGTGGTCCCTGAGCTTTTCACATCTCCATCCATGTTGAGCGTCCAATAATTCCAGCAATTGTTCATGGCCTCATTAAAGGCGGTGTCACGACCAAAAGGGGGGGGCCTGTTGATGATTAAAAAAAAATAGCGAAGTTGGTTCTCAGAAAACTATGGTTTATGATACTTATAATTCATAACACACTAGTATTTGTATTTATAAGTTATAAGTTATTCGTGGGCCCACATGGTACTTGAAAGTAGGCTGCATCATTCTTTGGAGCAGGGTCCGATTTTGATGGACCATGGGATAATAAGTTATATAGGGAAATTCATGTTAACATATATAGGGATAACAATAACATCTAGAGGTTTAGATACTTATATAATGTTACATAGAACTATATAGCTTGGTGGTATACCTACCCCTCTGAAAAATGATGGAGTTCGTCAGTTGGGATGATGAAATTCCCAATATATGGAAAAATAAAACATCTTCCAAACGACCAACCAGTAATAAGTGATATGATGTATAACTGGAACTGCACACCACATAGGGTTAGTGAACATGTTAATTTTGAAGGATCACATCTGGCTGAATTTGAACAATTCACCAACCTTAAAATAGCAGAAACCAACCATCATTCCAGTGAGGTCACAGTGAGGTCAGTATGAGTCAAATCAAATAATCAACTGAATGAGGTTCACTAAATCTTCATTAAATTCAATTAAATCCCATTAAACCATGAATTTATGTTAATTAACATTGATTCCCAACGCTGAAACCATGGGCCATGCCACAGAGCCAAAAAGCTCTTTACCCTACAGAATCCCCAAGTAGACTTCCCATTTGAAAAAATGAAACATCATCAGCACCAGGTCAATTTCAGGGTACCCTCTGGTAAATTAACATAGCTATTGGAAATGGCCATTTATAGTGGATTTTCCCATAAAAAATTGTGATTTTCCATAGTTATGTTAGTTTACCAGAGGGTACCCTCGGTGTCAACATTTCATGCACGGAGTGACCGGAGACCGGAGGAGTTGTTCACCCTTCGTTACCCCTTTTTTGGGTATCCCGAGGGGTTACCTGAGGCAGAAACCGAGCGAAACGTCGTGCCTAGCCACGGACCGGATCCCCGCCAAACACGGCGCAAAATGACCTACCACTGGTATGGCAAGCCTCCCGGGTCCGAGATAGTTCGAGTACAAAATGACCCAGAAGACAATTCATACTATCCATTTTTGGTCAAACAAATGAGCCAACTTAGATTTTGGGCTGGAACCCAGTTGAAAGATGGAATGTCATGGTCCCAAAATCTCAAAATCATCCAAAGTTAGCATCCTGCATTCCCCACCCAAACAAAATGTCCACTTGAGGGTTGTCTGAAAATGGGGGTAAAAAACTACGATTGCGCCATTCCAACCACTGATTAATATTGATTAATCACGCTTTTTTTTCCTATTGAAATGGTTGAACTAGCTATTTGAGGGGTATCCTCCATTTTCAGACACGCCAGCTGTGCTCCAAAACCACCACAGCCACAGATGGGCCTTGAAAAAACCAGAATCTTCCACGATTCCTGGCTCAAGGTGATGAAATTTGTTGCAAAAAACTATCGTCATCAGCCAACCACTCTTGGATTGCCCCCAAAAAATAGAATCAAAATTGAACCCCTACTTGGTGGCTCATCCCACGGCTCGTAAGTGGGTTATAACCCCAGTTATAAATAGGATAAGTAGGGTTAATCCACTTATAATTGGGGTTATAACCCACTTACTAAGTGGGATGAGCCACCAAGTAGATATCCCTGTATAACTATATATATACATATATACATATACTACGTATATATAGATTCCTCAGTTCTGCTGGAATTTCCATTGGGTGAATTCAAAACATTCCATCGCCAAAGGATCAGCCACTCCAAGGGTCATCAACTACGGTGGATGGTTGCGAAATCCTGCACCACCAAAAGGATGGTTGAAACATGTTGAAGCCCTATAAATAATGGGATCACCCATCAACTGGTGCAGGATTTCGCAACCATCAACAGTAGGACCTTTGACATAGAGCCACTGACTTTCAAAAGCCATGCTAATTCGCAATTTCAGATGGTACCACCTGAGTCACGAGTTGGTCAACCCCAAAAAATGCATCAATATAACCATAAAACAATTCTCAACCTAGTGGTTACCAAGCGAGCTAAGTAGGCACCACCTATGGTATAGGCCAGTCGATTTACCATTCAAAAAATCAACAATCATCTTGAGCCAATCCTTGTTGAAGTGTCTCGAATCTGGCACCGAATTGATCCAGTTCATGCCTGAAACTCTGACTTTGTCTGGTTGGTGGTATACCTACCCCTCTGAAAAATGATGGAGTGAAAGTCAGTTGGCATGATGAAATTCCCAACTGAATGGAAAGTCATAATCCAGTCATGTTCCAGTCACCACCATCCGGTCATCTTTCACAGCTTTCAGAGCTTTCACATGTCTAGAAAATGCCCCATTGAGTTCGATGACTTCCACAAAACTCCATTTGTTTTTTAAATAGTTTGAGGCTTCCCGATCTGAACTTGCTATAGATTCATTTCTAGTGAAGTTTTTAACCATGTTTTTTCAGCACCATGCAGCAAAGGGATTTCAACCATCAAACCTGGAGATTTGACCAAATTCAACCATCATTGTGGGGATTTAACCGACCCGGCCTGGTAAACGTTAACAAAAAACTATGGAAAATCACCATGCTATTAATGGGAAAACTCACTATTTCGACTGGGCCATTTTCAATAGCTATGTTAAATTACCAGAGGGTAGTATTCAAACAGATTTTAACTAGGAACAAAAATCACCCCGCAGCATCTGTCATCATAAATGTCATATATCAATGAATTTTCAGGGAAAATCTACAGGAAACAATTATTTTTACATATTTTTACCATCAAATATAATGGGCTTCCTATGCTTCCTGTAACACGTCCCTCCAATCCATCCAATCTTGCGTATCATCGCCGTCCCAAACACGCCAAAAGCTGCTTCGGGAAGCGACGTTGCACGTGACTGGGTCTCACCAGAGTCTGGCACGACGAGGAAGCGGAGGAAGCGCCCCCCCAAAAAAAAAACAGCCTATAGATTCCCCAGTTGTAGTGGATTTCCCATTGGGGAAAAGAACAAATCATCTTCAGCAAATCCAAGCATAAATATGATACATCTGCCAAAAACCCTATAGATATAGATATATAATGATATATATATATATCATTACAAGGCAACTTGGTACTGATTCCCACCTGTGATTCCCAATCTTACTGGATTTATCTGGATTTAGCAATGAACATGGGGGTTCCTAGTTGATAAAGCAGATTGATGATAGCTAAGCTGGATTATGCAACCCGTTATCTATAGCGGCGATTCAAACATAGCTGGGAAATCTCCGATCTCCGATCTAGTCATGGAGGCTCCAGGCTTCGCTGGGAAAATCCTCGAACTAAATGGTGCATTTTCCAGACGTGCAAATGATTACCGTAGGGTAGATAACCCCCCAATCATCCAGTCGTGGATGACCAGGACGACTGCGAATCGGGAATTCAATGCCATATTAATGCTGGTTGGTGGTATACCTACCCCTATGAAAATATGAGTTCGTCAATGGGAAGGATTATCCCATATATTATGAAAAATAAAAAATGTTTGAAACCACTACAGTAATCAGAATGTTATCATTATCAATGTATAAGAACTATACAAACATCATCAAACATCTATTATTATATATTTTTCGAGATATCATTAATATTATTAAAGGCAAGGTCAGGCAACACGAGGGGTTTGCCCTAAATAATAATTATTATTATTGTAGCAATATATATATATAAACATAAAACGAATATCATCATGGTTATTACTGTTCTTATTACATCTTATTATATTTCATTATATTTCATGTCTTATTACAGTAACAACTCATTAGTTGTCATTACTACTAATGAAAAACAAATCTTGGTTATGTATATATATATATATGGGTAAATTACAATATTTCACTAACCTGAATAGTTCGGCCATTTGGGGATGATTTCCCATATATACACCATGATGAACCAGGGCTCGGGAGAACAGTGAGGTCGTTATACTTTACCCAGATATATCATATATTATCCATAGATTCACCATTATTAACCATAGATTCACCATAGATTCACCATTGTTATAGGGGTTATAACCCAACCTAACATCTTTAGCATCAGAGGCATTCTGAAGCCCACAATCCTATCCGGTCAAAAACAAAACATCCCAATCCAGCAGGTTGATCCAGGTAGTGTCACGTGTCACGTGTGCCTATTTTTGAGGCCTCAATTTCAGGGGATATACCCCCAAAAAATTGCCAAACATATGGTACTAACGTACCTCTATTTTAGGATCCTGGAGATTTCCCATTGATATAACTGAGAAAAAGTCCCTTTTTGATTACCATTCAATAGGTTGGTATATGGGGGTATCTTTCATGGCGTGAACCCAGGATTCATCAACTGGGGTACCATTTTTCATGGTAACTTATCTGGTTTGTGGTTTTAGCCATCTTGAAAAATATTAGTCAATGGAAAGGATTATCCCATATATTATGGAAAATAAAAAATGTCTGAAACCACCAACCAGTTATGACTATCTTAGGGACACCTCTATCGGTAAACTGGACCAGTTGATTACCCGGTGCTGAGATGTGCTGAGTTTGTCTGAACATCAACTACCCCGAAGAAATTATAGTTGATTCATGTTGATCGTAATGTTCAGTGTTTTTTTTGTATTGAACTATTATTCCACTTCGCTGTCCCTTATTTTTGGGCCCCATTTCTGATGGTATGATGCTTTGTTGATGGTTGGAATATGTTGGAATCACAGCCACAAAAGATGGTAAATTTGGTGATGGTGGATTATATTGTTTCACCAACATTAGTACCAAGTCGGATAACCATCTAAGTGTATGGATACACTTGTTCCAGTAATGGGAAGTCTATCTTGCTCTATGTGCCCGTGCTGACCTCCGGTGAAACTCAACGTGCAACCTGCGCGTTGCGTGCCTCGTAAGTGGTGACGTTGGTGATCATGTAGGCTGTGTGTCTTGCAACAAGTAGACCTGCGTTCCGTTGTTGAATTCTTCAGCCAATTGTGCCAAGTGGTCGGAAAAACTCTCGAGGATTCCGAAATATCCCAAAACTTATACATTGCCAATCTGCCAGATACCCTGCAAAAAATGACAAATTCTGAATGCTGGTGAAGGTAGATATTCCCATTAATACCAAAAAACTAAAGGAATCTAAAGGATTAAAGTATCCATGTAAGATTGACCTAGTAACTATGGAAAATTACCAGTTTCAATGGGTAAATCATGGTAAATCAACTATAAATGGCAATTTTCAATAGCATCTTACCCATTGTGATTCAATGTCACCGTCTTTCAACGCAAATCGATTTTAAGGAGGTATCTCATGGGATCCGGGATCCGAAAAATGGTCCGATAAAAAGGTCACCCGTGGAGGCGAAAAAAAACAAAGAAGGCGGGTTTATTTATGGCTGAGAAACCCTGCATCAATGGGATGAAATCATATATCCTATTATTTCCTTACTTTCGGGGGGTAGTCTCTCGGGCAAGTTGTTTGAATTTCCATGATTAGTCAATAGAATGTGCGGCGTCAATGCTATTATTACGCGTTGTCAATTTCTCGTGTACCCTCCAGAAAACAAACATGGTTAAATTGAAGGCTGGATTGTCCAGCAAACAGTGTTTTGTTTCTGACTCAAGGTGCCAGTTCGAAGATACATTTTTTTTCATTGCAATAGAAAAAAATGGTCTGCACAAACTAAGCAGTCAGAGATTGTTTGAGAATGGGAAAGGTAGTAGGGACAAGAGGAAACACAACAAAAATTACACAAAACAATTTTTAGGGGGAAAAAATTGTCCACAATCTGCTTATTGCGGTCGTGTTGGGCAAATGTCACCAATAACCCCCAGAATGCGCTGGGCTATTGGGTTGCTTGTGGCCAACGAGATGGACGTCGATAATGTCAATGGACCCCATTCATATGCATAGTTTTTTTCAGAGCAACAGTTCATATATTTCATCACAGAACACATAATGTGGTTTCTTCAAATTTAACAGTTGCTTCCAATAATCGTGTTCCTCAACATACAAAGCATCATAACACCATGGTCCATCTTTGGTAGTCCATTAAACAATCACGTTTGCTGTTTCATTTTTTACTTTCCATAGCAAACAACTGAAGGATTCAACTCCCCACCGACTCGCCTACGAAGCCTGTCCAAATGACGTCAAACCTTGGGTCAAGCGGTGTCACTTGGTGGTTCATTGAATTTTATCAACTTAAGCCAAAGGGTTACAAAATCAATGGCCATTGCAGCCATTGCAGAAAAAAATAGGTACTGTTTCCCGAAGGAAGTTTAGAAGTCAAACTTCCGACAATGTGGACAAATGAAAAAGCAGAGCTGGGAAGAGTCAGAGTAGAGAAGAGAAGAGAAGAGAAGAGATGAAGAAAGAAGATCAAAAACGAGAAAGAGTCAGAAGAAAGAACAGGTAGAAAAGTCGCAAGTTTTTCCAATGATTTGTTGTTCCAGAGGGTCGAAAAGTAGGCTCGCTAAAGCGGCGGGTGCGGAGCCATCTGGCCAGATGAGAGATGAAAAATTGCACGCCGTTGTGGCGCGAAGCACATGTCGAAGTCAAAATTTACAAAGCACACAATCTCGGAGAACTTTTGGAAGTTGAGATAAAGTGTACGCCGTTGTAGTCCGAAGCAAATTTCCAAGTCAAAAGGTACAAAGCACCTCAGTGTCGGACCACTTTTGGAAGTTGGCATGTCGAGAAAGTGCACGCCGTTGTGGCGCGAAGCACATTTCCAAGTCAAAATGTTAAGAACACCACATGCTCGGACCAATGTTGAAGGTTCAGATCTGGTTTTGCGTGGCAAGCGCAAGGGATTCTGCACCTTGCCAAAAGTGAGTAAAACGTGAGGGTTTTGTAACATGTCCAAAAACGATGGCAGGCGTGGGAGATTTGAAGAGGATCTGGAAAAATGCATTTCGCGTGGCAGGCGCAGGACAAGAGACATGTTCATCAGAGATGTTAGGAGGTCAGGGCGCTGATTTCCTGCGAGGGGTTGGATTTTGGAGCATCAGGCCTTCAGGTTTGCTAAGATGATTTTGCGTGACAGGTGCAGCACTTAATGACCTGGCATCACTTTTTCGTGGCAGACGCAGCACTTTAGACACATGGAGTGGAGGAATCGCAAAACGCATTGGTACGAGGCCATCAGTCGCAGAATTGCTTCGTTTTTCTACGTTGTCAAGTTCAAAAATTGAGGAAGTCTTGCAGAATTGCTGCGCTTCTGATGTTGTCACGTTCAAAAATTGAGGAAGTCTCGCAGGACAGCTTCGTTTTCAAACTTGCGGATAGATCGATAGGTGAGATTAAATTAGCTTAGATTAGATAGATGGGTAGATAGATAGACAGATGGATAGATAGACAGACAGATACATAGATAAATAGATAGATAGACAACTACAGCTACAACTGCAACTACAAACACACTACCACTACAACAACAACTACAAATACACATATACTACACTACACTACACCAACTACACTACACTACAGTAATTGCACTACACAGCACTACACTACACTAATTACAGCACACTACGCTAATTACACTACAATTTTAACTACAACTGCAACTGCTATTGCTACTACAGATGCAGTTACAACTACAACTACACTACATTACACTACACTACAATAACTACATTACACTTCCCTACGCTACACTAGACTACAACTACAACTACAACTACAACTACAACAACTAAAACTACAACTACAACTACAACTGCACTACATTTCACAACACTACACTACACTACAGTAATTGCACTACAACTACAGCAACAACTACAACTACACTACATTACACTACACTAAGTACACTACACTACGCTACACTACACTACCCTAACTACAACTACAGCTACAACTACGCTACTTTACACTACACAACACTAGACTACACACACAGCACACTACACTACACTACGTTACGTTACATTACACTACGCTCACTACACCACACCACAACTACAACTGCAACTACACTACGCTACACTACAACTACAACTTCACTATACTACTACAACTATAACTACAGCTAAACTTCCGCCACCGCCTTGTGCGGTACTACTGGTAAGGACTATGGGCTATAAAATGGGATCCCACAAATATGGCTATGCTATGCTATGCTATGCTGCATCCCACCTACAGGAGGTCTATAGGTGGAAAATCCTCAAACTAAATAGAGCATTTTCCAGCAAGCTACGGTTGAGTACCAGGCATATCCAAGTATGTACTGTAAGTTTCTTGGCAAATCCAGCCTATTTCGCCCGCCAGAACTAAAACCCTGTCGTGGATAACTCCCTCTACCCGCTACCCAAAAACATCAAGTACCAATGTGAAAGCGGCCCCATCTCTCGGATCGAAGATGAACGAAGTATATATTGCTGAAAACACAACGTGAAACTCACATCCAAAATTATCTGGGCACATGACAATAACCTGAATTGCGGCTGTTTTGGAATATATTTCCCTAACCATGATTCCCGTGAGGTCGGGCTGAGCTCGTCATCGTCTAGAATTGTAATGGTAACAATGATAACCACAAGAGAATAGAGAACTGATCGCTGATCGACCAGCATCCGGAATGTTCCTAGAGTTTATAAAATCCATGATCAGGTCATACATTTGTGTTTCTATGTGTCTCCATGTGTGGTACATCCCAACTGCCAACAGCCATCTGGCTAAATTATACTCATTCAATCTAATTCACACACCTGAATACTTCGGCTATTTTGGGATAGTTTCCCCTACGAACCATGTTTCCAGTGCGGTCCCAGTGACGTCATTCAGCCACGTCATTACAATTTATCTAGGTGGTTGACACAAATCAATTGGAGGTATCTCGTGGTATCTCTCATGTTATGTCATGTTCCGATGATGTCCGAAGTAATCCATTGTTGGTGATTCATAGAACCTTAAAGTACACATCACCGCTGCTCACCAGTTTTCTGTCGCAGTGAGGTCGATATATGTCATCCATGTTGTACCAATTATAACCATTTAATTCCCATTAAATCCCCGATTCATGGATCATTTTCAGGGTAAATGTTACGGAACATGTTCTCAAAGGTCACGCCTCCAAGGTCAAAGGCGGCCATGGTAACCAACATCAAACCAGACTTTTGGGGTGGAACACGTGGCATAGGCATCCCATACTGGCATCATTGATCCAATATGACATGGTGAACAGGGATTTGTCCCACAATTGTCCCCAGAGCCCAGAGCTATCCTATAAATTACCCACAAATTACCAATCCCCCAGCTCAATGATCCCACTATCGGGTTTGTCATGGAGAAAATGTTAGGAAATGTTGGGAAGGTTTCACAATTTCTTCGGTTGTTCATCATTTTCCCAATGGAACCATCATGTGGTCGTGTGGCTGGGAAACTTTTAGTAGCTCCCCGGTTTCCATTCCTAACAGCTCCCTCGATTCACCACCGGATAGTAAGACATTGCCACTTTTGGTTTTGTTTGACTGCCGCAATCATTTAACTACGGAAAATATGCCACATTTGTATATACTGTATAGTATCGATATGTATAGATCGAAAACCATACAGTATCAACGTATATCCATATATGGTGGCTCCAAAAACGATATAGACATGTAACGTATACTCACTCAGCCAAACTCCAGGCATCTAAAAGTTTAAACTTTTTACCCAAAATAGCTGTGCAAGTCTCACCTCGCACGTGCCACATCTTTTAACACTGGAGGGCTAAGGGCTAAGGGCTAAAGGTATCACATTTTCGCCCCTTGAAAATCAAAACAATGGCGTGAGGTTTGTAATGGGGCTTATGGCCGGAGTTCTTGCAGTATGAAAATGCGATGTTTTCACCTTTGTTTGAAACTGTGTCTAAACTTGTCGTGGTTTGAGTTTGGCAAAGTATGTCAGAGCAATGGCATGCAATGGCCTTGAAATGCCATGTTGGGGATCAATCGAAATAAACAAATGTTTTAGCCGAACAGCATGTTCCGAAATCTGCAAAAAAAATATTGAACATGTTGGCTGGGACCAAGAAGGTTTCAGGACATCGTTTCGCGCGAACGCGTCTGGTTGTGTTGGCTCGGAACATAGGTTTTACTATCCCGTGGGCGAAGTTGAACCAGGTATGCTCAGAACAAACTTCCAGCACGGACTCCTAATCTTACCTGGGTTGCAAAAAAATATTTTGTTTACTCTGTATATCCCCAAATTAAACCTAATCCTCCACAATCACTCACGCCTTGGCCGAGCTGGTAGCCTGGCGTCCAAATCCAACAGCGATGCTCGGCACAACTTTCTTGCAATGCTCGGTCCAAATTCAACCAAGAACCAGGATGCCTTTTTTCCCCACTGCTGACGACATACCGGCTGATCTTCGCAAACTGCAACTGGTGGCAACGATACCTCGCTCATGTTCTTATCTACTTGCAAAATAGATGCGCATATTATGCCGCATGTCTTTTGTATGAGCTATCCTGCTACTTTTTGAAATGGAAGGTTGGATAGCTACTTTGATTCCCCACCTGCCAGGTGAGAGTTTTTTATCAGAGCTGTTCGCCTCCTCCTTCTCCTCCTCGTCCTCCTCCTCCTCCGGCAAGCTCTTCGCCAAGCTTTTCGCCAACTCTTCGCCAAGCTCTTCGCCAAGCTCTTCGCCAACTCTTCGCCAAGCTCTTCGCCAATGTCTTCGGCAACTTCCGTGCGCAGTGGGCACTGCTGCACCTCAACTGCCGGCTTCCGATCTGAGTGGGGCACCACTGGACCTCAACCTGGGACCTTCCGAGCCCAGAGCTCAGTCGGCACCACTGGACCTCAATATGGGACGTTCCGAGCCCAGTGGGCACCGGTGGACCTCAACCCGGGACCTTCAGAGGTCAGTGGGCACCACTGGACCTCGACCTGGGACCTTCCAGAGGTCAGTGGGCACCTGTGGACCTCAACGGCCAGATAGAATGCCAGAAGATATGCCAGATATAACGCCAGATAGAATGTCAGATAGAATGCCAGAAGATATGCCAGATAAAATGCCAGAAGATATGCCAGATAGAATGCCAGAAGATTTGCCAGATAGAATAGAATGCCAGAAGATATGCCAGATAGAATGCCAAAAGATATGCCAGATAGAATGCCAACAGATATGCCAGATAGAATGCCAGAAGGTATGCCA